AACCTAATTGATTTAAAATAGCAAGACCTGACTTACAGTTCACTATGTCAGTGAGCAGGAACGGTCTCAAACGTTCAAAGGGCATGGAGGGCAAAATTACTCTAGCAGTGAAATTTTTATTCCTTCAACTTCTTTGCGATTCTCTGGGCATACTCGATGGATGCACACCACCTCTTTAACCCATTCGCGACCGCGCGGGATTGCGCGATAGCAGTACAGTCGGGACATTTTTGTTCGATAAAATTTGAGTGAACGGAGATTCCCCCTGCAAAGGAGGCGTAGGTGAATGAGGGTATGAAGATTCTTTTCATGAGAGAAAATGTTCCAAATTCCGTTTGAAACCCGGTAGTGAACGAACAATGAATTTGGCAGCCACCGGTCGGTTAGACATTGGCAACGAATGGGTTAATCGCTAGAAAGCGTATTAGTAAAACGTAGACTGGCTGCGAGTGAGCAGCGTAAAACATGAGAGCACGTCGTATGCGAGGGCGCAAACACGACGTATATCGCGAATGAAGGAATCCTTGCCGGAAAAAACATGGTTCTATCTCACCCTAAAATCACTGGCTTGAGACCGATCGTCCACTAAGAACGAAAAGAAGAAAAAATTCGACTTGTTTTGGCAAATAATTTCGAAAACTGGAAGGACTGCTACGCGTTTCAAATTCCCGCCGGACATCTGCCACAAATGCTGGCGGTGGGAACGCTTTCACTTGGCTTACGCAATGCCGACACTAGGAACCCTTTTTGGCCTTTTGACTTATTGCACTGACATCTCACACTTCCACTGCATCATATTCAATCGATTATTATGTCTCTATTCTCCAAAATCGAACGCTCTCTCATTGCGTTGCCTGATAAGTAGCCGCCTAAGGCGCACTTCTTCCCATGCCTCACCTTTCGCGCCGCTCTGCCTACCTTCGATCGTCCATATGACGTGATTTTGTGAGACTGTTACTCTTCTTTGATCGAATATTGATGCGTGAAACATTGTGTGTGGACTCTAGTGATCACAATTGCCACATTCATGTTGGACAAGAATGCAAAATTTTCTGGGAAGATTCCTTTATTAGAGTAGCAGTGCCAGCAGCGTACCCTATTTCGGAAAACGAGAAGAGTCGAGTGCAGGCCAAACATAGCGTTTTTACGACGGGAAGAGAAAGTCACTTTTCCTTCTTCTTGGCCGTCGTAACTTATGGTTTGAACCAAGGCTAGAACGTAGCGTTTGGCCCGACTTCTGAATAGTGGTAGTGTCGCGGCTACTAGGCATGGATAACCCCTCCATTTCACTCTTAGGGAGGTCCTTTCACACCTCCATCACGGCCGTGTGCGTTAAAATTTTTTAGGTCAGTGATTTCAGTCAGAACGAACCGACGCAAGCAGTGCGCGGAGGCGGCATATTAGCAAGGACACCGATGCGAAAAAGCCTGAAAAATATGAAATCCGAAGGTCTCAAAAATCAGGTATTCTTTTTCTCTTCACCACTGTCAATCTACAACAATAGGTGCCCTATTTCTCTCTCCCCACAACACCGTTCACCAATAAGTGCGATGCTTATGAGCGAATTGCGAAAAAAGAGATGGTTTAAGGCAAAATGGTGTGTCTAAATAGATATGAAATTGTTTTTTCGAAGAGATCGGCGAAAATATTGTTGATTGAGCATAATATCCTACTTCTACGAGTAGTTAAGTAACTGGTTTCCTCCATTTTTTATTTTAAGTGCGACGCTGGTGTCGCCAGGTGGGGCATCGCTGTGCTGATTGAGCTGGAAGGAGGGGAGAAGCTTTGCAGAAAACAAATTGCTCACACATCCCCCTCCTTGCCCAACCCACCCCTCTAAGGCTTAGCCTAGGCTAGGAGGGGCGTTGGCTCTATGAGCTCTGCATAATGATGTCCCACCCGACGACACCAGCGCCTTCAGTGCTGCTATAATTCGACAACTGATCCACCAACACCATCATTTTCTAGAAGCGGTGAGTGCCTACCCAAAGGAATGCCTTTTTGTGGGCGATGTGAGATACTGCGAATCCAGTAAATCGCGCTGCATAAACGCGTGTGTCGTTTGAACCGGCCTGGCGCATCGCTCATACAATGCGATTGCAAGCGATTCGCTGAATTCGCAAATTGACACCGACCTGAGACTTCAATTTAGATCACTAAACTCTGAACACAATTTTGTGGAATGGGCGCTATCGTAATATAGGGGGCTTTGTGGTGGCATTGCATTTAAAGGACGAATTCACGATGAAAAAGCAACCCATTTCAAATTAACCTAGGTGAGTGGTACACGAAAGAAGGAAGAACCATGAGAAACGGCCCAGAACCCGAGAAATGGGACCCCTTCCTTGCCCGTTGATTGAGCATTGATGCGACTCATCGCTGTGCCCTCTTCAACACTACGCTCTCTCAGCTATCTAATCACTCGCCACGTATTGAACTACGGCGAGTGATCAGATGATCGGTGGGCGGAGATCGCCGGACCCGCCAGCTTTGAGGCATGATAGGTCGCCGAGGTCAAATTTTTCCATGCGAATTGCGCGTCAGTTCGCACCCTCAGGAGGTCCGTGGGTCCCTCAACTAGGTCAGTTACCTTTCATCGACCTCGTAATTGTAGGAAATGGACTGATGCGGTAGAAAGGCTTGCAACGGATGAATTATAGAGCACTTGTTGCATCTAGAAAAGCAGTATCATGCATGCAAAACATAGTAAATAAGTGAACTAAGCACCCTCTTGTCCCCGGTATGAAACCCCTCCGCTGATGTCACGATATTCCTGATTTACTGGGCTCTTTCATGACGCCTGATGTGTTCACTAGAGATTGCGTCGCGACCACCACACTCGGCAGTCCCCGTGCTCACCCTACGGCTAAGCCTCAGATAGGGAACGTGCGCAATCATATTTCACGATCCGTCCTCCCCTCCAGGCTCAGTTCGCATTGGATGCCCATCGCACATACTAGGGCCCATTTCATTCTTACACTGCCTGCCCGCTCCATCCCCCATTACAACCGCCTCCTTCTCTCACCCAACTAAGAAGGCCCTGTCGACGAATCTCGCCCTTCACTTTTGTTCAAATACCACCATCGTTCTTCACCATTTTTTTGGTCCCTTTCTTTTTTCAGAGTAACGCACAGCCCAATCAGACAAAGGCGCTCATGTCTTAGGGTGGACATTCAAAACGGGACGTTACAAAAACCGCTGGTAAGTGACACTAGGACCAAGCTCAGAATTGGGAATAAACACCAGGGAGAGCAATGGTTGCTCAAATTTTCTCCGGAACTTATTTCCGCTCTCTAAGGCTAGCCCGGTAGTTGAGTGCCCTCACATTAATGTCTCCCCAGAGACACGAAACAATTTTGCTCGATTACCCAACCTGTGGGCTACGCCAGCATTGCAATATTGCAGGACTCAGGAATAGGCTTGATCTTCCACATCATGTATTTCTAATTCCGACTTCTACAGTAGTTCCATTGCCGATCAGGATGTGATCCGATTGTGAGCAGAGTGTAGCCTTCCTATGAGATTGACCCACCAAGAGCTGGTTTAGAAACCTACACACCTTCGTGGGAGGGAAGACGTGACGTCCTGCAGTTAGTCTGACCTGATATCGTGGCTATCCTGAGATACATGAATTAACGAACATATTCTGGTCGTTCATTGTGTTGTGTTTTTTTTTTAGTTGTCCGGCTCCTTCTCCCTTGCCTGGCTTCACATCATTCTTTCTCTGAAGTCTCTTCAACCCCACTCGTTCACCAAAGATCGTGCTTAATGAGGACGTGTTAGAGCTATATCTTATCTTGAAGTCTCACTAGCCACTAATTCGTAACTAACGCTGCTTGTAGCCGCGATAGCTATCCTCACAACAACCACGGTGGGCGCGACGCTTTACCTTATAGCGCCCTAATCGCTCATTTTGAACGGCGAAGACGGGTACCCGACAAGAGGCCCGTCGCGCGGCAAGAAGGCAGAGTCAGCGGACGAGTCGCAGCGCGTACTGTAGTGATTTCGCGTCAAGTTAAATAGAATGTACCATTGTACGTCCTACATCGCACATCACGCGCTGCGACTCGTCCGCTGACTCTGCCTTCTTGCCGCGCGACGGGCCTCCTGTCGGGTACCCGGATCAACATTTCTCTCTTCGCGGCACCTTCCCGTTGACGGCCTTGCCCTGAAGCAGCGTGCTGATTTCAAGAGAGTGACTGTTCATTGAAGAAAGGTCACTCGAGTGTGGTGATAAAGCAATTATTTTGTCATACACCGTCATCTACCTACAAACAGCCATCATTTTCGAAGAACTGATATGGGCCGTATGCTATGCTTCCCCGAAGCTAGGTGATCCAAAGTTTCCTTTAAATTTATTTGTTTTGAACGATATAGTTTCTTCATTTTCAGTGCATGTTTACTTTTACCTACATACATACATTTAATGGGCAATCGCAATTGGGAAGACAGGAAATTCAAAGGGATTTCCGTCCCCTAACTCCTTCGGGAAGGATAGCATACGACCCATGGTCTATTGGCCGAATAATCACAGTTCATTGAAAAGTTGCGCGCTTACTATAAGCCTTTACCAAGTTCAGCTTCGCGACGAACCTTTAATTGAGACCTAGATATATTAATAGGGCATAAAACACTGGTTACTAACACGGCAGCTAAAGTTACACAATTATGCGCCAGGGGATTAATGAGCAGTCAAAATTGACGGAGAATATAGCATCTCACATGGACGGAGCTATCCTCCAGGCATTCAAGATTGTCCTGGAGTACCGGGTCGTGTAGAGGTCCATTGAAGAAAAGGAGCAAATCAAAATTCACGAAATTGGAACAACGAACCTTTAATCTTATGACTCGTTCTCGCCACTAGCGGTGACAGTTGTGCGACGACCTCGACTATTCTGCATGACACATACCCAAGCCACCTGTGTCGCGTTTTCCATATCACTTCACTGTAGACTGTCGCTATCACTCAGCCGGGACAGTCCATACGGATGACTGTGTAAATGTCGCCCGATTGGAGAAGTGATATCGTTTGCGGGACACCTTCACAAGGGGCAGACAACGGCAAGGAACGCTGTGGAGGTACCGGAAACGCTTGTGTTGCCTTTTGTTCTCTCCCCCCCCATCTCTTGGAAGGGCCGGAGGACCAGGACCCGCTGGTCAACCCGGAGGTCGAGGACAGCCAGGAAGAGACGGTCAACCCGGAAGACGTGGAAACCCTGCAGGTCCGGGAGGAGACGCGGCTTACTGCCCGTGCCCACCTCGCTATGCTGCTTCTGCACGTGCACGCAAGGCACGCGCTTGATTCGCTGCACTTCAATAAATATTTTAATTCATGCTAATTGTATTATGAGGAATCGGTTTCCTGATAAAGCACTGTTCATTAGAAGGGCAAGTGGAAATCTCTGTCCAATTCATAAATGTTTCGTTCCTGTCCGAAAGTCATTTTGATCATTCTTAGTTGAAGACACTGCAAAATATGACAAAAAACCTAGAGCATTGGTCTATTGCGAATGAAAGCTTTAACCGCTACTGCGCGCTCGACAATGTAGGCTCACAGAAGCTGGACAGTCTACAGAAGACGTTCAACGTCTAGCGCACTCTACTTCTTTTCCTGTTCTACTGAATCGGTATTCCTCAGTGCAATGTTTTTGTGGTCAATGATACTAAGACAGCTTATTGTTAGGTAAGCCCAGGAATGAAATGGGTAACGAAGAGCGTTCAAATAAAAGTGGGGAGGGGGGGGTGGAGAGTGATCCAAAGAGAGAGGGAGCCAAAGAACTGCCGAATGCGCTTCGATCAAGGCATCCTTTCTTACTGTGGCACCTCCTGGACGACCTGGAGCACCTGGTAAGATTGAATTTTACAAGCATTCTACTTGACTCAATCTTTATGCTTGACATTTAGGACAACCTGGAGCACCTGGTCAGCCTGGTAGCGACGCCACTACAACATACGCTCCAATCAACTGCCCTGGTCGTGACAACACTTGCGTACAATGCCCGGCTGGACCTCCAGGACCTCCCGGACCAAGTGGAGCTCCAGGAGACAGGGGACCGAACGGAAATCCAGGACGAGCTGGAGGCCCTGGAAACGATGGCGGTCCAGGACCAGCGGGACCTCCCGGAGATGCTGGAGCACCAGGAAACCCTGGATCAGATGGACAGCCCGGACAGCCCGGAAGAGACGGAACCACTGGATCGGGAACTCCTGGACCTCCAGGACCTCCCGGACCAAGTGGAGCTCCAGGAGACAGGGGACCGAACGGAAATCCAGGACGAGCTGGAGGCCCTGGAAACGATGGCGGTCCAGGACCAGCGGGACCTCCCGGAGATGCTGGAGCACCAGGAAACCCTGGATCAGATGGACAGCCCGGACAGCCCGGAAGAGACGGAACCACTGGATCGGGAACTCCTGGACCTCCAGGACCTGCTGGAGGTGTTGGAGCTCCAGGAAACGCTGGAGGACCCGGAAACGCTGGTGCTCCTGGAAGGGCCGGAGGACCTGGACCCGCTGGTCAACCCGGAGGTCGAGGACAGCCAGGAAGAGACGGTCAACCCGGAAGACGTGGAAACCCTGCAGGTCCGGGAGGAGATGCCGCTTACTGCCCGTGCCCACCTCGCTATGCTGCTTCTGCACGTGCACGCAAAGCACGCGCTTGATTCGCTGCACCTCAATAAATCTTTCAACTTCATTCTTGTTTCTTTTTCGCTGGCCGTTATTTTTTTTTCAGCGCGATATGAATGCTGTCACAAGGACGGCTTTCCATGCGCAATCTTCGGCCCAAGCCGGGACTGGTATCGAGACCCCGCCATTTTGAAAATGTGCTTTCCGTTATTCCCCTGGTTTCGCTTCTTCTGAAGTCGCCATCACTTCCAAAGCTGTTTAAGAATTTCTACAGCTGATTAGCATGCGTATCATGTGATGGTCGGGCAACAACAGCAGTGAACGTGCCGTCTCTCCACCAACCTTGACCCATTGCGTAACAATTGTTGAACGCCTCGCCTGTTGGAGAAATGGAGCAACTAACGGGAGTTTTCTCCTGTAGTTTCCGGCAAACTTTAAACGTCCACACCTTTCTTCATAATCAACCTTTCCAGATGTTCAAAGCTGATTAGGAAACAGAAGTCTAGCTCTTCCGAATCAGTGCTTAAACTCTTTCGAATAGTCGCTCCTCTAAAAATGTCCTCCGTTTTCCCCTTTGTTTTTTCAAGCCATTTTCCTGAAACGCGACTTTGCAATCTTCAAACGTCCATAATTTCCTTCAAAATTCATATAATGAGAAGCGGTAAAAAGTGTTGAAGTCTACATGAAGAGTGCTTCACAACGTATGCAAAATTTTCCCTGAAAAGCTTTCTTCTGCCAGAATTTCTGAGGAGGTCCCTAGAAGTCAATTAAGCAAGTTCTAACTTTCTTCCACTTAGATTTGTTCTGAAGACATCAAGATTCTTTTGAGGAAGTTTGTCTGCTTACGGCCGCTGACAGATAAAGCGTTTTGAAGTGAAAACTCCTGCTCGGGGTACGCCGTGCACCTGTCTGTGGATAAGCAGTCGCACTAGCATTTGAAAGTCCTCCACTCCCCTGGAGACGGTGATAGTATCGCGATTGTAGGCGTTGTACTGTTACATGGATAATTTCTCAATGCATTTCACCGTGAGTCCCTCCCCTTTCGTTCGGCCGAATACGACCCACTCGTTGTTCCTTGCGCAAACGGTGGTTGATTCTGTTAGCTGTCGCTTGTACCATTAGCTGCTTTATCACCCACTTCATTTTTGCGGACAGACTCTTATTGTTAGACCTACATACAGACATGCATACAAACTGACATATCCGCCGTTTGCATTTCACTCATAGGTTTGCTAACAAAATTGAACAAAAACAACAATCCCATCCCACGCTCCCATCAGCTGCCCTGGTCGTGACAACACTTGCGTCCAGTGCCCAGCTGGACCTCCAGGACCTCCCGGACCAAGTGGAGCTCCAGGAGACAGGGGACCGAACGGAAATCCAGGACGAGCTGGAGGCCCTGGAAACGATGGCGGTCCAGGACCAGCGGGACCTCCCGGAGATGCTGGAGCACCAGGAAACCCTGGATCTGATGGACAGCCCGGAGAGCCCGGAAGAGACGGAACTACTGGAACGGGAACTCCTGGACCTCCAGGACCTGCTGGAGCAATTGGAGCTCCAGGAAACGCTGGAGGACCCGGAAACGCTGGTGCTCCTGGAAGGGCCGGAGGACCTGGACCCGCTGGTCAACCCGGAGGTCGAGGACAGCCAGGAAGAGACGGTCAACCCGGAAGACGTGGAAACCCTGCAGGTCCGGGAGGAGATGCTGCTTACTGTCCGTGCCCACCTCGCTATGCTGCTTCTGCACGCGCACGCAAAGCACGCACATGATTGTCTGCACTTAAATGAATATTTTAGGTTATGTTCTTTGTGTTACGAGAGAATGCTTGAATTTGCATATGAACACTATGAGCAGTTTAACAGCTAGGCTCCTCCTAGTCATTTACAAAACCTTTTGTTAGGGTCATAGTGGAAAGAGATTGCCCATATGTACGGTACTCTGTGGTTACTAATGCATACGTTCACTTCGCGTAGACAGCTGGAGATTTGGTTTGATCAGGGACAGTGGTGAACTATCCTTAACTCACAATCAGTGGTAATCAGGAGCCCTGATTATGAAATAAGAAGTCAGACAACCGCAAACTAACCCTTGATCAAACCACGAGATTCCCTAATTTTATTTGAGAAGTACAGAACAACAAGAACAAGAGAGAAACGAACGAAAAGCTGAAAAAAGGCTGCACAAAGCAGCTGAAGAATATGTGGGATTGCAGCCGATTCTTAAACTCCTACATGCTGGAGCTGGTCAGAGAAAGGAAGAGCATGGGATCAGGGCCACGTTGACCCTTATGTGAAAAGTCCTTTGGCATCTGCGGCTCCTTAATCTCGCGGTCTTTCCTGTTCTCTCCTTGAGAACCCCCACGCCCTCTCTGGACTTCCTCAGAACCTATCGTAATCGCTCCCCCATGTGCCTTCTGCAAAATGGGGGAACGTTCAAACGAACTCAGCACCTATTGAAACAACGTGGATTCACCGTGTGGATTCACATTACCGCTCAAAATTCTCATAGATCAGGGGCAACATGAGTGGTATCTATTTTCTGACCATTGCTATCGTAACAACCTTGTTTCATAAGATTTATTTCATAGTATAAGAAGTCATGAGGAGGTATTTCCTGTTGTGGAAGTTGACGTTCTTGCCGTCGTCAAAGTTGATGTTCTTGTCGTCGTCAAAGTTGATGTTCTTGTCGTCGTCAAAGTTGATGTTCTTGTTGTCGTCAAAGTTGATGTTCTTGTTGTCGTCATTGTAGAACCACCCTCACTGGATGACCGTATAGTCGTGCTCGTTGGAGTGCCAATCCTTTTCTGGCTTTACTGTCTTGCCACCATTTGTGCACTGATCGCACTTTACACACTCGAAATCATGGAGGTGTTCCCTGCGAGGTAGAGAGCGTAGAAAGTCATAAGCCTAGAAAGAAAAGTTTCATCGAAGCTTTACAATGAGAGAAATTCTTACGTGCCAGTATCACTCACCCCCCCCCCCCTGGGCAAGGTTTTGTACGGGAGTATCGTAGATATCTGCTTAGTCAGCAGTTTTGCTTCATACATGCCTGAGGACCGATGGTCGACGGTGCGATTCGGGGACATCGTGTGATCAGTTGTGACGTTAGCTCGATTTGGTGGTACACGCCGTTATCAGCGAAGCCCGCTGGATTTGAAATGTCCGAATCGGGCCTGGGGTTGTTGGAGCGACCAACGTTTGCAGCTGCCAGACCACGTGCCACACAAATCTTCGCTTTATGGTGATTCATCAGTTTTCTGTAATCCCATTAACACATGATGACAGTGCGCATTTTGGCTCTAAGCCGGCCCGTAGCCTGCGAGGTTGAGAGGCCGAGCACTCTCTACCATTGGTGGGCTAAATAGTTATCAACGGCGGGTGCGTGTCAACAGAATCGTCCGAAGACCCGCGCTAGTGGTCGTGGTCGCGACGTCGCGATGGCGGTGGACGAGTTTCCGTAAGCGTCATTCGATTGTGAATGTTAAGGGACGCTAAACCGACTCCTCCTTTAACATTTCAATCAATGCATGGGTGATTTCGGTTCCAGTAGACCTTTTTCCTTTTCCCGTTCCCATATAATGCGGAAATAAATTGTTCTGTTCCAGTTTTCTGTTTATTCTGATTTTCTGGTCTGAATTCTGACTTTGCTGAGGTTTTTACTGCATAGAAAAACCTCAGCAAAGTCAGAATTCAGACCAGAAAATTCCTTTCTTAGGTCGACAAAGTTTTTTCCAGGAAATTTCTCGAACTCCGTTGTGAAACAGTAGTAGATTACGCCTGACGAGAAGGACGAATTCCGGACAGCATGAGACCCTCTTCTCCTTTCAAGGATCCTAAACTGAGCTTTCCCGCGAATCTGACGCAGTGTTATGGAAGAAAAAGGTATCTCACCAAGCAAAATGGACTTCGATGTCTGCTTGATTAATGTGGACTGCAGCTAATTCATCGCTCCAATCGACAAAGTCAATTATTGCCGCGCCCATCGAAAAACTGCCGCGTTACGACGCCGCGCAAGCCGCGCGCGACGGCGCCACTCCCGGACGATTCTGTTGACCGCTCCCCATAATCGGATAAGTCTGTCTGTCTGCTGGTGTGTGTGTGTGTGTGTTTGACCGGAAATTCATAGCTCGAGTCACAGTAATGATAGCGCAGTGGTTCTTACATATGTTATAGGGGGTGGGATGGGGACACAAGTGGTACGTGATAGGAACTGATAACGACTGATAATAGCTGATAAGAGGGGCTAGAAAGCGAGCATCGCCAATTTCGTTTTGTCGTTCATATTGGTACTAGAGCGTCTATACTTACAAGTGTTATGTGGGGTGGTCCCGGGACATTGGTGGTACATGAATGGAAGCGATAGCAACTGATAAGGGCTGATAAGATGCGTCAGAACGCAAAAGTCGTCGATTCCGTTACCTGGCTCGCGTTGACACCAGAGCAACCATACTTACAAGTGTTATGTGGGGTGGGACGGGGACATTGTTGGTGGGTGATGGAAAGTGGATTACAACTGATAAGGGCTGATAAGGCGTCAGAACGCAAAAGTCGTCGATTCCGTTACGCAGCTCGCGTTGACACTAGAGCGTCCATACTCGCAAGTGTATGTGGGGTGGGACGGGGACATTGTTGGTGGGTGATAGAAAGTGAT